CCCAATTCTCCCAATGCCCAACTCTCCAAATTGCCAACTCTCCTAATTCCCAATTCTCCCAATTCCCAACTTTCCAAATTCCTAAATCTCCAAATCTCTTTACATCAAATTTAAGAGCCATCACCTTGCCACATTGAATCAATTAAAAACTTGATTACATGACCCCTCACCAAATCTCACCATTTTCCCAAATATTTTAATGCATCTCCCAGTTCCAAATACAACTACTTCAGGTAAGTAAAATCTTGACAATAAATAACTCATACTAAAATTCACATATGCGAGTTTAGAGAAAGCTCACATACGCACCTCTGCATATGAGCGAAATCATCGAACCCGATCTATCGGTGGTCAGTGATCGCACACGCGTTCATGACCCGATTTTCCGCAGACATTGGCCAGGAAATGTAGGTCGCTTACGTGTGTTACATAAATGCGCCTTAACCCTCCGTCTTTGGAGGAAGGTGCGCCGTAAATACGGCCGTAGTCTCGAGTGTGTCCGCCCTGACACGGAGTGGTACTACTTGCACGGCGCACCAGCCAGCCATTAGTCAATACTCCCGACATTAGTCAATACACGCGGCTGGTCCGCCTCGCAGCCACCGACACGGGGATGGAATAGGGTCGAAAACCCCTTCCCCATCCACTAGCTTCCTGGAAACAGAACGATACTTGCTGGCAAACTTTTGAATTCTTGCCAGCCTCCTTCATTGTTCTCTTGGCCGGCTAATCGATACCATTTTATTGCCCGCGTGTGCAAATCCTGAGACGAAGTCCTATCTTCTGTTGAAATTAATAATTATTATTTATTTGTTGTTGCTTCTTTTTTGAGACTCATACATTGAGACTATATAATGTAATAATTTATTATGTCTTATCTTTTGTCTTCAAGTTTAAGAACAGCAATTATTAATTTGTTATATTGTATTCTTTGTCTTGAGGCTCAAAAAATACTGAGCATTTATTGTGGCATATCTTTTGTCTTCAAGTTTAAGAACAGCAATTATTAATTTGTTGTATTGTATTCTTTGTATTGAGGTTCAAAAAATACTGAGCATTTATTGTGGCATATCTTTTGTCTTCAAGTTTATGAACAGCAACAATTAATTTGTTACATCGTGTCTTCTATTTAGAGACCCAGAAAACACTAACCATTTATTGTGTCTTATGTTTTGTCTACAAATTTAAGAACAGCAATTATGAATTTGTTGTATCATGTCTTCTATTTAGAGACTCAAAAAACACTAATCATTTATTGTGTCATATCTTTTGTCTTCAAGTTTAAGAACACCAATTATTAATTTGTTACATCGTGTCTTCTATTTAAAGACTCAAAAAACCCTAACCATTTATTGTGTCTTATGTTTTGTCTACAAATTTAAGAACAGCAATTATTAATTTGTTACATCGTGTCTTCTATTTAGAGACTCAAAAAACACTAATCATTTATTGTTCATATCTTTTGTCTTCAAGTTTAAAAACACTAATTATTAATTTGCTATATCGTATTCTGTGTTCTGAGACTCAAAAACATCAACCATTTATAGTGTCTCCAAATTTAATTTTCATTTTCCAATAGTTAAATGAAACACAACTATTAATTTATTATGCAATATCTTCTGTTCAGAGAGTTAAATAAAATATGAATTATTAACATATTTGTGGATATTTATTTTGCATCCTTCAAAGTAGTCTACAGGGGATGAAATGCACTTATGGCAACAGTTCTTCAGAGGCTGAAGAGAAGGTACCTTTTTGATGTTTTCTCGAAGCTTGCAACAAAATAGTAAAACTCTAAATGATGTCCTCAGTATAATTAAAAAAATGGGACACATAAAGGATGACATTAGTGAAGTTTTTATTATGCAATTCTTTGTTCTTTAATTGTGTTTGACTTCGTAAAAATTGCTGAAAAACATCCCCAAAATTGCAGAGAAAAATAATATCAAAAAATTTGTATTATAACTGCAATTACTATAAATAAAATTAATTTACAGAAATAAATAAAGTATTCAACTGTGCATTTTACCTGAGAGTCCTAAAATCTTGCACCCAATAAATCTGTTGTAACCAAGTACAACTAACTACCTCTGTACAAATCAATTAGTACTGCTAACTCGTTCCTGATTAGCCATCGGTCGATGAGGGTAGCATTTTGACTTCTTGCCAGGCCAATCACAGCCAGGGTACATTTGCCAACGCTTTCTTATCACGATAATGGCTCCTCGCTCGATAAGACCGTAGATCATCCACCGTTTCAAAATTTTGTCATCGTTTCTTAAGAAAGTTTCTCTTTGATCCAGGATTTAAATACATAATTCATTCCTTAAACACAATTACCTTAATATGATGTATTACCTTAATATTAAGGTAATTGAGAGGGGGTTGAAACGGGGGTGGAGCGAGAGAGAAAGAACGTTTGTTAGCTAAGAGACTGGGTAACAGAGTTAATGTCGCATTACGACGTGTACTGCACAACGAGTGGGTTCAACAGTGTACCAGCCGAAGAACATAATTGAAGACCACAAAATGACGGAAACCACGGAGGAAGCTAAAGTAAGATAAAATAGAAGTCATGAATTTAATTGATCCTCTCGTTTATTCGCTAGAATTAAACGATTAGCTCGATGCAGTTCCGATAACGAGCCAAGTTGTTGCTAAGGAGATCGTAGATAATGAACGTTCCCGTTGCACGAACGAATTCGTAAATGTTCATGATATCTACCCTTAGATTTAGGATAAGAATCTTGATAGGCGGCTTTTTAGAACTTACACGATGTCACATGTGTTTTATACACTTGCGGATTGTGGTGGCGGTGACGGGTAATTTGTACATTTGGTATTTGATACTTTAATTTGGTATTGTGAATCATATGTTTGACAATTTTTGGCTATTATGTTTTTATATGTTTTACTATATAATTTTTTACTTGGTGAACCTTTTTAGTTTAATAGATTTCTAATATTTTGGATCCTTAGATTTACGAATTCTAAAATTTCTTTAGGTGGGTAAATTGTGCAGTTTGTGAATTTCTAAATTTTTGAATCTTCAAATTTCTATGTCCTTAAATTTCACAAATCTCCAAATTTACATTTCAAATTCCCAATCTTTCAAATTTACAAATTTACAAATTCACATCTCAAACTCTTAATCTCTCAAGTTCCCAAATTTACAAATTCACATCTCAAACTCTCAATCTCTCAAGTTTCCAAATTTGCAAATTCACATCTCAAACTTCCAATCTCTCAAGTTCCCAAATTTACAAATTCACATCTCAAACTCCCAATCTCTCAAATTCCCAAATTTCCAAATTTCCAACGCTTCAAATCCCAAAATCCTTAAATACATAAAACTCTAAGTTCTCAAATCCCCAAATCTCCGAATCTCCAAATCCCCAAATCCCCAAATCCCCAAATTTCCAAATTAAAAAATTCCTAAACCCTCAAATTTCTAATTTCCTAAATTCTAAAACCTTCAACCCCTTAAATTCCTAAGTTTCCAAATTTTCAAATCTCCAAATTCCAAGATTGAATTATGAGCATACTGAACTCACTCCACTATCGACAAATAAATTTAAAAAGTGTTCGATACAAACATATTACAAGAACACCATTAGACTAGCATCTAAACACAATAATCGAATTCTGCACGCTATTCTTGCTTTTCGTGATTCGAATGCGTTTGACATATTGCATGTGTAGTTACAACCTTTCGATACGAATCAAGTTTATTACTGACATGATCGATAAGATTGCACTACTGATTAAGTAATTCGATATATTGAATGTACAGGATATATCACATAACAGTTGCCATGATTTTACTGGGAAATTATATTGGTAAATATTACATTCAATTCTTAATTTTTGTTTGCATCAATTATGCAAATGCATACTTCTGCATTTGTTATGTAAAATAATATTTACAGGAAATTTATTTTGCAATATGTGTGAGTATATGAAACTACCCTATTCATCATACTGTGATAAACATATAATAATGTAGCTCAGAATGAATATATTTTTCTAATATTAAATAACTATGAAATGACATGTTAAACTTCATTATTCTTTTTGTAGGTACTTGTGCCAGGATTTAAAACTAATCAACTATAAAAATGTTTTGACTGAAGATATATTAAAACAGAAATTTTTGAAAATGTGTATACAGGGTGTCCAGAATCTTGTTGGTAAGGTACAGTTTATTTTATGCACAAAAATAAGAGAACAAAACTATACAAAGTGCAGCTATGAATATTTTATTACAAAACCGTAAACAAGTGTTAAGATACAGTGAAGCTTTTTTAACATCTTTAAACAATTATAGGAAAATCACTTGTAGAGGTAAGTTTGGGATACATTGTATACATATTTTCAAAAAATCAACATTACTAAAAGTATTAATCAAACTTGAATATCTATCGTTCGTTTCAAACAAATTAAAAAAATGCTTAGTATAATTGGAAAAGTGTAATACAACAAAAACAAGCATGCTATAGTATATGTAAACATCATTATAGTTAAATGCAAGTACTTATGAATTCATAATTTGCAATCATCCCCTACAGCAACATTAAACAAATTACTACATCTAGAAGAACAGTATTAACATGTCGACATCACTAAATAAAAATACATTACTTCTAATCACCATGAGATGAACAGAAGTCACCATATAATGTCACCTCTCCACACGAAGTCACAACTCATCATACAAAGGAACCACCATATCGCTTTGCAACACCGTTACGGATCACCCTGTCACAATCACAGAGCAATACACACGGTATTGACTGCTGTTGGTAGAATCGTGCTGAAATTCCCACACGACACGAACGATACGTAGAAGGGTGGTACCAGACACGAACCCGTGGCACTAGGTATTCACCCCTTGCACCACTTTCCACCCTTTCAGAAGTATTCTCAGTTTGCTGATATCACTCCCTGTACATCCAGTTCTCTCTTTTTGTATCTTGTGTGGTTACGTCTTTCAACTAATTATGTTCGTGCAAGCTCCTCCTTTGTTGGTACAACAAAAATCGGAGAATTCGGAAGAGGGGAGCGACGAAGAAAGCACTGACGATGTTCTCCAGGTTGATCATGTCTTTTATCATTATTTTACTGTTCAGTCACTGTTAACATTCAAACACATTGTGGATCAGATATTTATGTAAATAGAGTACATAGTATAGATAACATAGAATAAATTATTGTACATATACTTGTACAAATACCTGTACAAATTGCTATACAAATTACTGTACAAATTACTGTACAAATTACTGTACAAATTGCTATACAAATTACTGTACCAATACCTAGAGAAACTACTGTATAAATAACTATACAAATTATTGCATAAATAACTATACAAATTATTGTATAAGTAACTGGAAAAATGACATTTTATGGCTATTCATGTTCATGTGATTATCATATATGTTGTATTTATTGTTCATGTTGCAGTTAGCATTCTCACTGTCTGAATTTTTATCATCATCATAAATACACTCACTTCTATTACTCAAAGATTATCCATTTTGACTGAAATGCTTCTATTTCTTTTTTTTTTTAATACTATTTTGTATTACATTAATGTCATATGTTAATATTACAATGCATATGTAAGAAGTATAATTGCATTGATATTAGGTAGGGTAACAAGTGTTAGGTTTGAACTATATTGCAGTCATATCAATAACAGCTGTAGTGTATCTAAATTTGTGATTATCAATCTTGTTTATTTGACTACATCTAAATAATGTTGACGCCACAGAAACGTCGAGAAGAATGCGAAAGAAAGGCGAGAAGAGGGGAAATGGATCCCCGGTTGGAATTCGCTTTCCAACTTTTGATGGATGCAACCCAATTGTCTCGCCACGAGGTCATGGATCACGTTTTCGAGGGGGACATGCTCGACGAAATCAATCAACTTTTTCTACCACACATGAGATCCACGTTGGTTTGGTATTATCAAGAAGTGGACGAGCCGGAAACTCTGCGACCCACGGAAATGGTAACAATTTATATTTCCGTAAAATCACTATGAAGCAATTTCTGTAAATTCTGCTCACAATAATTTGCTATGTAAATCGTTTGTTTCATCTGATTTAATTTAGGATATGTTCCTGTACGTTGTACATATGTACATATCTTCCACGCTTCCACAGTTCTTCTATCTATGTATAATTTTGTTAGTTTAACAAATCATTTTAATGGTATATAGTTAAATGTTAAACTATTAATGGTAATAGTTTAACATTATAACAAATCAGAAATGATAGATAGACATTCTATAATAAGTACTTAAATATTAAATTAGAGTAACACTGTTTGTTATTAGATACAGACGAAAAGCACGAGCACCAGAGGGGTTGCAAACGTGTTGATGCCTAAAATTAAAGAGCAAAAGGAGACGAAGGAACCTGGGAAGAAGAAGCTCTTTCTGACTGATGGGTGGCAAGTTCCTTGCACTGGAATATGCATCTACATGTTCAGGTTATTTTAATAATTATATGTACATATCACATTGACAGTAAAATATACAGGGTGAGTCATTCACAGCAAGCTATCTGGATAATTGTATACATTTATGGTTAGATATGTAGCTAGAAAAACATGCTTTAGATATGTATCTTAAAATTACATAGCTATGAGATGTTTCAGATATGTATCTTGAAAATATATAGCTGGAAAAAGATGTTTTGAATTTCAGAGGGGACTTGATTTAATGTCAATCGTTCTCATTGCGAGTCATCAACCTTATTTGTTTTAATAGAATTCGCTTGATACGAACAACTTTGTAATTTTAAAGTGAACACAATGTACAGATTTGAGATTGCAACATGCATCATATCAGGTGTTAATACGTGTTCTAATAGAGAACACGATGTTATCAACTCATGCAAGATTTTCTGCTTCAATATTCGCCATCTGATATAACATAATACAGGATAACAAGATTATAAATATTTTTACAAATACTGTTTAGATTGAATGTTTCGAAACAATTACCTGAGGAAGGGTTTCAAAAGGATCTCTATACGGGGGTAATAGACACGAAGAAAGTTGGAATAATCACTGCAATACAACGAGTTGTTGAATACTTCTTCATGGATGCACTGGCACACCCTGGATCTGAGGGTGAAGATGACTGTCCTATGATTAAGACTCTTTTATTGCCTGGTTTGAGATCTTTCTGTAGTGCTCTGAAAGGTAAGAAGTAATTTACATTAAATATGTAATATTTGGAAGTTAGTTTCATACTTGTAAATTTGTGATATTTGAGAATTAGTTTGATAATTGTAAATTAGTAAATTTGTAAATTAGTTCCAACTTCCCTAACAAATAATTTCTAATCTCAACTGAAAGGTCCATAAAGTCTTCTTAAGTCACTTTTCATAACATAACACAATACAAAAATCAATTTTTCACAGTGTGTGAACAGGTAGCCCAAGAGGGGCGCATATTCAGCGACGGAGAGACATTGATGAACGACGTCCACAATTTCGAGGAAGCAAAAGCCTTCATCTCAAAAGAAAACAGTGTGAACATCGTAGAAAAAAGGGTGAAAGGTTGGATCAAGAAATTAAAAGACTTCATGGTAGAAAGTAAACAAGTCAAAAGAGAGAACGACAATTCAGGGCCGCAACAGGAATTGGAATATTGGAAACGAAGAGGAGCACAGTTCAGTCAATTAGTTAACAAGCTCCAGGTCATTCTCGCATTCTATTATAATTACTTTCGAGTTAAATACAAGAATTTAATGGCGATTACAGGATCATGAAATACGAATGTCACTGTTGTGTCTCCAAGTTGCACGCTCGAAGTTGATCAAAGACTGGGTGGACGCTGAAAATGAAATTACGTATTGTTACAACGAGGCTAAGGACAACGCGAAATTTATACAGGCATTGGAGAAATGCTGCCATTGCTTGTACTTAGATGACCCAGTAAGATACTTCATATTTCTTGTAGCTCTTTACTATTGCATTTAACATAGTAACATATTAACACATTGACACATTAACATATTGACACATTAACATATTGACACATTCACATATTAACACATTAGCGTGTTAACACATTCACATATTAACACATTCACATATTAACACATTAACACATTAACATATTAACACATTAACACATTAACACATTCACACATTCACACATTCACACATTCACACATTCACACATTCACACATTAACACATTAACATATTAACATAGTAACACATTAACGTATTAACATATTAACATATTAACATATTAACATATTAACGTATTAACGTATTAACATATTAACGTATTAACGTATTAACGTATTAACGTATTAACGTATTAACGTATTAACGTATTAACGTATTAACGTATTGACATATTAACATACTAACATATTAACATATTTATTATAACACTAAAATTGACATGTACTGTCTTAATAAAATGTACACATACTGAAATATTAATATGAAGCATAAAAGTGATACTAAATAACTTACCAATAAATATATCACTATTAGATGATGTTAGATGACATTGATTTTAATGGTCATCTTCTTAAACAATTATTTTCTGAATATTTTTTTAACCCGCCCTAAAATTGAAATTCTACTAACCCTTTATTTTTTATCAGGTGAAAATGAGGGATTCCTTAGTATCCTTGTTACAAACAGTCCGTCTAATATACAGCGTGTCAAGGTACTACAACACTTCAGAACGAACCAGTTCATTAATGATAAAAATCACGAATCAGATGATCGTGGCCTGTCGAGACTACGTCACAAACAGAGGTCGAGAAACTGTCTGGGGTCAAGATCGAGCAGCTGCGCGATCAAAATTGAAACACTGTCTAAGACTGAACAAGTAATGGTAAAAATCAATCACTTTCTTCTGTTCTGTTTTAGAAGAAATAATAACGGTTGTTTTTGAAGAGCTTACAGAGAAACTTATAGATTAGTTCGATGTTCGCCAGCTGTGACTGAACAAGAGTTTTCCTTTTCGGAGACACACGTGTTTGGGAGGTTCGATTCATTCTGTGATAGAATAAGAAAGATTTTGACCATGTTCGAACTGATACAGGATTATAAGAACCTTTTTGAGAGGCGAATGGAAGGTCTTCTGTTGGGAGAAGGTGCGAAAAATATTTTTTAATATTTTTATTTACTGTGTTTCAATTTTCAATCGCTGTTTCAATTGTGACATTTGCTGTAAAGGGTTGCTAATATTTGTGAAGATAAATTAAATTAGTGAGGGATAATTTTGCATTTTGTTGGGATGGGACATTAGAGCCCCGGAAATGGGGAATTATCGAACTGCTACTTACGACTGTAATTGTAATATTGATAGTTATTATAGCAATTTAACTCTCAGATGATATTTTAGTCATCTAATGGGTGGATTGGAGTTTTAATTTAATCCAAAATTCACGTTCTCTCGAATTTCCTAAATTTAACACAGTTTCTTTTAATATTCTGTAATATTATTTCGATACGTGATGCTCTTCTGTTTGAAAGACTCAGAATTTATTGTAAATCATTTATTGTAAATTTGAGTAATTATCTAACAAAAGTCTTATAGACGCGCATCACCCAATCACAATAATCTATAAAATATATTACAAGAAATATTAAAATATATCTTTAATATTTAACCCAAATTTTTTTATACTCACAGCGTTGGATGATGCGATAAAAACCTTCGAGGAAGCCGAAAACATAGCAACCACTAAATCATACGATTACTTAGACCCAAGAAACGTCGAATTCGACACCGATTATAGTAACTTCATGGCTAAAACAGATTCCCTAAAACAAAATATCGGAAGTATAATAGAAAAAAATTACGAAGACGTCTGGGAAACGCCTCAGGGTATACGATTTTTAACACGATTTGAAAAAGTGAAGTAGATAATCATCAACTAGAAATTCGTATTTTCAATATGATTTACAATTGCTTTTTTATAAGGTGAGCGAGAAGATACCATTGACGAAACTGGACGAAAAATATAATATAGTGGTTAAATATTGTGATCGAGAAGTGGATAGAATATTAAAATTGTTTAAGAGACTGAGAGATGATCCGCCATTGCCGAGACACATGCCGGCCATTGCTGGAAGGCTGACTTGGGCTAATTCTTTGAAGTAATTATTGCAATAATTTTGTTATTAATTTTTTCAATTACATTTCTTGTGTTAATTTTGTCAAATTTAATTTTGCAGTTAATACTTTATTTTGTATTTTATAAATTAATGGAACAAATTTTTTGTGGAAGTTTAAACTTTTTAAATACTTCTTTAATGTAGCACATCATCTGTTTTTGAGAATTTTTATAAAATTGTCAATTTCTTAAATTATATTTCTTGTGTTAATTTCTTCAAATGTAATTTTGCAGTTAATACTTTATTTTGTATTTTATAAGTTAGTAGAACAAATTTTTTTGTGCAACTTTAAATTTTTTAAATACTTCAATGTAGCACATCATCTGTTTTTGAGAATTTTTATAAAATTGTCAATTATAAGAAATTTTGATGAAACAAATTCTGAACGTGCAGTGTTCGACATCCAAAATTCTGCAAAAATTCATCAAAATTATTCTGTTTATTAATTATTCTGAAATAACTATACCAACTTACATTTTAATTTGCATAGAGTACATCTTGATGAACTAGCCACGTCCGTTTCCAACCACCCAGTGCTGAAGACACTTCCACTCACCATGGAGTTAGAAAAAAGATACAACTACGCCCTCGGTATATTAAATCAGTATAAATCGGACATCGCCGAGGTGTGGACTCACCAAAATTCCTGGGTCATCGAAGACTGCTTAAAACGGTAAATCAATCCACCTAAAACATTACACAATTCTAGTAAGTAATTTTAACGATGCAGACGATAAGTCACCCCATCTAAAGTATTACTTAATTCTAATAAACTTTGAATACTTAATAGAAATCCCTATAATAATAATTTTAACGATGCAGACCTCTGCTGATGGTAGACGAAAAGACAGGAAAAATTAGAGTAAACTTAGAAGGACGTATAATGCTGTTACTACGAGAAGCCGATTGCCTGACAAAGCTAAACCTAGAAATACCAATAGTGGCATTAACAATTTTGGCGAAAAAAGATCATTTTACGTTGATCACAGACTCTCTCCAGTTGATGATCGAAAATTTTGTGTTCACAACGAAACGCGTGAAAAATGAAGTGAGACCACTTTTGTTGCCTCATTTGGTTCGTGTTGCATCCCTGCTGGAACCTGGATTGACTACGTTGACGTGGACTGATCCCGAATGGAAGAATTTTTATCAGAATGCGAAGGAGCAGATTAAGGAGTTTGATATCTTGGTGACGAGAGTCCATGATGTGTATGATAACAGGTATGTTAAATATGTGTTGTTAAATATGATACAAAGGTATCACATATGTGATGTTACAACCCATGTTCATAATTCATAATTTTTCATAATTTTATCAAATTCATAATTTTACCAAAACGTATGCTAAATTAATTCAACATAATACAGCACTAACTTAATTGTTAAAACATACAATTTTGTCTAAATTATATTTAATTCTTGAATCTTACTTGAATATATTTAACGTAAAAACAGGTTCAAGTCTCATAACTTAAGGATAATTTTAATTTTAATTTAATATGCATTTGCTGATTGACTGTAGCTGCAAATGTCCAATAAGTATACAATAAAAAAATTAATTATGCATTATAACTGTACCTTCTTTTCATTACATTTACATAAGTTCCACAGTTATCTCACTTAAACACAACAAGAGGGTTAATCAGATCTGATAGCAAATTCTTTCACTCGTTCCAAGGATTCTTCAGGTACTCACAACTATGCAAAAGATCACGTTGCATTCTCTGCCAGAGTCGGATCAGCCTTGGACGATAGAGGAATTCGTGGAGAAGACCGAGGAAATATGCAGACTGGCAGCGGTAGATTTGTATCGTAAAAGTATGATGGTAGAAGAAGCGGTAGAGGAAGTGCTAGACCTTGTTAAGAACGCTGCTGAGAACTTCAAAAGTGCCGCTAATTACAGTCAATTCGATTTTTTTAATATTGAAGGTACTGCATGTTTCATGATTATAATTCTTCCACTACTTTATTTTTATATTTCATCACTTCTTAAGCTGTAACATTTTTTTGGCGAAGTTCTGCAGTTTGATCTTCAGAATTTTTTTCTGAGGATATCGACTCTTGCACAGTGTTCAAATTTTTATTAGACTGAAATGAAGATTTTTATTTTTATTTCATTTGTTAGTGTCACAAACTACTTAATAATAAGACTTCGTGTGTTTAAAAATAATAATCTTTTAATTAAGTATAATGAAAAATGAATATATGCAATATATTTATAAAGAATACAATATGAGTATGATGAATATAATTATAATTTTACATTAACACATAATCTCACAAATATTTTCCTACAACGTTAAACTATAAATTAGCATAACACAAAATAAAATATAAACTCAAAATTTTTAATCTTTCAACAAATGATTACTTTAATAATCTCTAAAAAATTACTATGAATTGTAAAACTTATAGAAGACGAAGAAACGATAGATCAAGCAGCTCAACAAGATTGGTCCCTAGTGTGGAACCTGTTCGACGATCCTCATCAATTATTAACCACTCCCGGCAGTCTGCCGAAAGGTATGCAAGACATGGTACGAAACGCCGTGTCTGAAATGAGAAGATATTACTCTAGAAAGGTTGTGGACGTTCTGATAAAAGTAACCAGAAGCTCGCTAGACGCCATTAGAAAGCGATTCATTCGGGAAATTGATTCTGGTAACTGACTTTGTTCAATAAAAAATGAATTTGTAGCGATAAAATTAATTAATTGTATTCTGAACAGAGGAAACACCGAGTCCGCTATTTTTACTGCATGCTACTTTAATGATACCTGTGGTGACTGTGAAACCTAGTCTGGACGATGTTCAAGAAGCTCTGAGTTTGGTTGGTAAAACCATCTCTGGTGTTGCTAGAGGCGTTTCGCAATGGAATTCTAGGGTTAATAAGGTGAATTCTTGAATTCTGTGTAATTGTAATATGACAAGTTTTCATTGACGTTAAGAAACTTTAAAGAAAACAATATTTAATAATTGTGTTCTAATTTATATTAAATTCAAAGTTTCATTGTGGAATAATCTATGAAATTATTCTATGAAACATTGTGAACTATCAAAGTATTCTACCTCTCAAGTCTGTAATATTCTATCTTTTATTTATTATATTTATATATTTTATTCTATCTTTTTTAATAAACCATGAAATTATTCTATTACAATTTACAATGATGTATTTGTCAGTTAATAAATAATAAATTTAGTTAAATTGATATTTAAGAACTGTTGAAATTGAAACTTCTTATAACTTCACATGTACATATCCTGCAAACTATGTTCTAATTGACAGCTTTTTCAATTATTGATTTAAGAACTAATTACATCTATCCACATTAAAACTCAACTATTTTAGTTGTTCATTAAACTACATGTTTTCAGAATTCCTGGAAACAAGCATATCCAAAAAGAACCTTCGCAGACATAGTAATGCGAGCTCAAATGCAAGCAGCGAAGAAGAAGCATGAAGAACCCGAGGATCCAAGAATTCGAAGACGAAAATTGTTCAAAGTAATTTCCGAAGAGAGACCAAGTTTCCCGGTGCAAGAAAGCAATTTCCACGCGATGGTGATGGACAATAAAGAAGTGATGAAACTGTTGTCCATACTGAACACCTGTATGCAGGAATTCAAACCAGTAATTCCACAAGTTCCTAATAATTTTATTACAAAATACACAGATGAAAATGTAGAGCTTTTTCTAGGATCTTAGTGAATTCATCGACAGATGGAAACCGTACAAATTTCTGTGGAAGAATGAAAAGAGCATGAGGGAGTTGCTACAAATTTCTTTGCCAGAGTTCGAAACCACACTTAGGAAACATAGCGAGCTTGAAGACCTTTTGGCTACGGAACCTGACATGATTATTTTTGGAACCTCTATTGCTGTGTCTACGGAGAAGTTGAAATATGGATTATACACAGAAATCAAAGGTATGGAATTCCCAAATTTCTAAATTAAATTTCTAAGTTGTTAAACATTTAAGCTTAAAAATTTCTTGGTTTGAAAAGTTGATATCTGAAAAATGAAAAGATCTACCTATGATGCACCTAATCTACCAAATCTAATCCACCTAATTTGTATTCCAATAGATAAATAAATCCTCCTCAATAAAAATACTACTAACCCAATACCTCACAACCTTATTTTCACAGCCTGCACCCACAAGATTGGTCAAGCCATGAAGAAGAAGTACCGTCGCGAGATGGAGTACGTATACGCATTGATGAACGAAATGGAGCGAAAACTAGACCGTCAAATCCGCGACCTCGACGACGTACGATTGATCATGGACACCCTAAAAAAGATTCGGGAACAAGAAGTCGATATGGAACTAAAAATCGACCCGATCGAGGAAGCCTTCAACATCGTCACAAGATACGAGGTGCCAGTGGACCAAGAATGCCTCGAACAGGTAGACAATCTAAGATACACATGGCAGAAATTACTAGCCCGAGCTCAACAGAGTCACGTCTTACTGCTATCTCTACAACCTCAATTCGAAGAAGACTTGAGAAACAATTTAGAAAAGTTCAGAATCGACAACGAGATGTACTGCGAGGAGTACAGGTCCTCTGGACCTATGCAACCAGGTCTGAGTCCTCGAGAAGCCTCGGACAGGCAGATCCTCTTTCAAAATAGGTTTGATGGCATGTGGAGGAAGCTTCAGACTTACCAAAGTGGCGAGGAGCTTTTTGGCTTACCTACTACGGATTATCCTGAACTGTCGCAGATTAGGAAGGAGCTGAATCTGCTTCAGAAGCTGTATAAGCTTTACAACGATGTTATCGACAGAGTCAACAGCTATTATGACATACCCTGGGGCGAGGTGAGGTTCAGAAAATTAGTTGGATCAGAAGTTTTATTATACTTAATGTTTGAGATTGAGTGTGGTTTTTTTTAGAAGAGTTACTATGGTTTTTAGTTTTGAAAGTTTTATTTGTAGGTCTTCAATTCATGAAGTAGTTATTTCTTGTAAAAGATAATGTAATATATCACCTAAGATTAACTACTTTTCCTAAACAATTCTGTACAATAAAAAAAGGATCACCATGTTTAGGTAAACATAGAGGACATAAACAACGAGCTAATGGAATTCCAAAACCGCTGTCGCAAGTTGCCAAAGGGCCTAAAGGAATGGCCGGCGTTCTTCGCGCTGAAGAAGACGATCGACGACTTCAACGACATGTGTCCCCTCCTGGAATTAATGGCAAACAAAGCGATGAAGCCACGTCACTGGCACAGGATCGTGGAAGTGACAGGCTACTCGTTCGATCTGGACAGCGAGGGCTTCTGCCTGAAGAACATCCTCGAGGCGCCTCTGCTGAAGTACAAAGAGGACATCGAGGACATCTGCATCTCTGCCATGAAGGAGAAGGACATCGAAGCTAAATTGAGGACCGTGGTGAACGAGTGGTCGTCCCACGAGCTGACGTTCATGACGTTCAACAATCGTGGAGAATTGTTGCTCAGAGGGGACACCACCGCAGAGACGATCGGTCAACTCGAGGACAGTTTGATGGTGCTCGGTTCTCTCATGTCCAACCGATACAATGCGCCATTTCGCAAACAGATACAACAATGGCTCACGGATCTGTCAAACACCAACGAGATACTGGAGAGGTGGTTGCTCGTGCAGAATATGTGGGTCTATCTTGAAGCTGTGTTCGTCGGGGGAGACATCGCTAAGCAACTGCCGAAAGAGGCGAAGAGATTCAGCAAGATTGATAAGAGCTGGCAGAAGATCATGCAGAGGGCTCATGAAACTCCGGGGGTTACGCCCTGCTGTGTGGGGGACGATTTGTTGAAGCAACTTCTGCCGCATCTGCAGGAACAGCTGGAACTGTGTCAAAAATCATTGAGTGGGTAAGATTAATATTTTTAACTTTGGTGAAGAAATTAAATATACAAGTGCATTGATAAATTAATACTTACTTTGCATGATAGAATTTTTTAAAGTTTTATAGGTCAGGAAAATTGTACTTTTGATAAGAATTTTTTGAGGTAAAGTCTGTATTACTTTATGAGGTCTCAAGGAAAAAGTTCTAAAAATTGTACTCAAAGATACAAAGCTTTGAAGTTTTTTAATTCTAACATTGGCTCCCTGTAATTTTACGAAGTATGCAAAATTCTTTGAAAACTAAACTTAGATATTAAATATGATTGTAGATATTTGGAAAAGAAGCGTATGATGTTCCCAAGATTCTTCTTCGTATCAGATCCAGCTTTATTGGAAATACTCGGTCAAGCGTCCGATTCTCATACAATACAGAATCATTTGCTTTCTATCTTTGACAACACACGTTATGTGAAATTTCACGATATCGAGTACAATAAAATGATGGCCATTATATCTTCCGAAGGAGAAACCATCTTGGTACGTACCGCTGCTTATAGATACAAAATGGTGGATGCAGCATATGAATAATAAAAGAGAACTTGTATAAATGTGAATATCAACTGTTTCATTATTTGTAACTACTGCATATTTGCTGTATGCACATGTGAACCTATAACTGCATATTACAATACATTTCATATTATCAAATTAGGGTAATAATTATCGAATATATAATATATTGTATTATTCACGATTAAGTTTGTTAAAGTCATGCAAAATCAGTATATACAAGAAGCTTATAAGTGCTATTTTAAAATATACAAAATATATAAAGTATTTAAAATATATTGTACATTAAGAACCTAATATATGTAAAAATATGTCACCAATGTACAGCATGTATACTCAAGTTAAACTCTGTCAGATTCTTAATGTACAATATTTAGTTACAATCCAAAAATTACTACTTAAAATTTTTACCTAAATTTTTAATGAATAATTAAACTTAATATTTTGGTTTTACAAATAAGTTGGAGAAAGCAGTCAGAGCAGAAGGATCAGTAGAAACATGGTTAACACAGCTATTGCAAACATCCCAACAATCTTTGCACTCCATAATACGACAGTGCTATTCTATGATCAACGACGCGAACTTTAATCTCCTTGGTTTTTTGAACAAAATGCCGGCGCAGATCGGTCTGCTCGGAATACAAATGATCTGGACCAGAGACAGCGAGCTGGCTTTGGCTCAGGCTCGCGCGGACAAAAAGATTATGGCAGAAACGAATAACAGATTCCTCGACTTGCTGAATACTTTAATTGATCAGACGACTAGGGATCTTGCGAAAATCGAGAGGACGAAGTTCGAGACTTTGATTACCATTCATGTGCATCAACGTGATATATTTGATATACTTGTACGTATCTTCGATACCTTGTAAGAAACAATAAAAAATTTCTTTTTTAATAAAGAATTTGAAATGACAAAGATTATTGACCAAAGATTGTTGAACAATAAAGTCATCTTGTCTGTATCTCCATAATATAATATTGTTCTACAATTGTTCTTTTTAACAATAATTGTTAAATTTCACTTAGACGATGAAATGATAAAATGTTTCTACAGTGCCGCATGAACGTACGGTCAGTGAACGATTTCGAGTGGCTGAAGCAGTGCAGATTCTACTTCAAGGAAGATCTTGATAAAACATCCATATGCATAACCGACGTCAACTTCACGTATCAAAATGAGTATCTAGGCTGCACTGAACGACTCGTGATCACTCCATTAACAGACAGGTGACCATATTTTTATAGTGGTTTTTGATGATTTAGCACTGCAACTCTGTCACTGAAGTCAATCAAAATGATTGGTTTTAGATTTCTTATTTTATTCTACAAAATATTGTTGTACTTTCACATACCTGTCATATTTTGTGGAAGCGAGCTTGTTTATTTTATAAACAATCACTGATGTGGTTACACTGTGTAGATGAATATAAAACTTGAAGTATATATAAGTTATATATACATATAACTTATAATGTGTATAATATACTATACATATAATGTATAAAACACATATATGTATAACTTATATATATTATAAGTAAAATTACAACTTAAATGCTAATCGTAGCTCTTAGCTCGATATCGTTTTCTAAAAACTATTCTTTAGAACATTTTTAGAAAACAATATCGATTACCAGGTCACACCACGTGGAGGTGACTACGACAGTGACCCACCCTAACTCCAAATCCCTACCACCCTCCAATTGCAATACCTCATTTATCAGAAGGACAAATGAGTTCTGACTCTACTTAGCTCGCATACATTAACTTAATACTAATTGCATGCGATCACACACGCATACATATACGCTTAACTTATTCTAAACGTCGCAATGTACCTCTTATTCTAAGATTGCACTTGTATAATCAATAATGACGTAAAAAAGCAAAGGGAAGAAAGTTAGAAGAACTTTCTGTCAAAAAAAAAAGAAAGTTAGAAGAACTTTCTGTGAAAAAAGGGGATCAGCATTTTTCGCCAAGTGAACCTCGCCTTCCATGGGTCAAAGGGTAGTCCATAGTGGCTTACGTGAACCACGAGACAGAGATGAACCGAAAATACTGGCAAGAACGAGTGACACATCCGCGGAGGGTCTCCCATTTCTCCCCGCTTGCGTTTGAAGCAAGTCTGACCGCAGAGAGGAGACCCCTGCCGTGAGGCGGCAGATCGAGATGGTTCATCAATCGATCGGCCCCGCAGAGATGTGTCCCTGGCGCTACACCAGCACTTGCAGCTCACCTCTGCCGCGTGTTCACAGCGCTATCAACCCCCAATGATCCACTTGGGTTCGGAACGATTGACAAAAAATAACTGGGTATACTACAAACTAACGCGTACAAAGATTGAGAATTGTGAAGATGAGTGCAAGTTAGAATAAGAGGTACTTACAAGGACCCACCCGCCCCGCCCACGAGCACACTTAACTTAAAACTAACGCACGCATAAAATTCACTTAAAACTAACGCACGCATCCCACGATGATTCCTCGATGGTTGATGTCTTCAATCTTCGCGTATACGCATTTCACACATAAACTCAAGAGAAATCTCAAAACTCGAAGCAAAATCATGATAAGCTTTTGAAAATCTTAAATCCAAAATAAAAATACAAGGAGATTGAGAAACCTCGAAATTCAAGATAAAATCAGAATGCAGGTTGAAAACCTCAGTTCCAAAATAAAATTCTGAAAAGATTAAAAACCTCACAAATCGAAATGATATCACAATGCAATTTGAAAATCTTAGTTCCAAAATAAAGTTCTGGAAAAATTAAAAACCTCAAAACTCAAAATGTAATCACACTACATTTTGAGAACCACAAATCCCAAATAAAATCGTGAAAAGATAAAAAAACTTCAAACTTCGAAGTGAGATTACAATGCAGATTGAAAACTTCAGTTCCAAAAATAAAATCCTGAAAAGATAAAAAAAAAAACAGAAAATCGAATTGAAATCACGAGGTGATTCGAAACTCAAAATAATATTCACGTACGATATGAAAATATAACACATATTGAAAACCAATCAACTAACAAAACAAAAGAATATAGTAGAAGAAATGAAATAGCGAAGAAACTTGAAAACTATGGAGCAAGACATAAAATAGCGAAGACACTTGAAAACTACGGAGCAAGACGTAAAATAGAGAAAAGGAGACTTGAAAACATTGGTGCAAGAAATAAAATAGAGAAGAGACTTGAAACCTTCGGAGCAAGAAATAAAATAGAGAAGAGGAGACTTTAAAACTTTGGTGCAAGAAATAAAATAACAAAAAATCTCGAAATCTTCAAAGCAAAAAATGAAATAAATTCGAATTTGAAAAATTTTATGATCCCACGATGAGACGAATAGGTCCTGCATCCTGTACTCACATTTTCGTTCACTCGCGCACTCACTCATACTACAATACTTATAATAAAAGCCCTAAGTGTGCCTTTTGTTCTAAAATTGCACTCGTATAATGTAAAATTTTAAAAAGAAAAAGGTTAGAAGAAAAAGAAGAAAGTTAGAAGAACTTCCTTTCAAGTTTGGAGCAATTGACAATAAAAATAAAAAGCTATTACTATAATCTAATACGTAAAGATGAGTGCAAGTTAGAACAAAAGGCACTTACAATTTGCGCAAGCTTTTCGCCACATGTGACGAAAAACCTGCGCCCGAGCCCACCCTTCCTCCCACAGCTCGGAATTATTGTATTTTAGATATGAAATTGAAAAGTTATAATCGTAGCTCTTAGCTCGATATCGTTTTCTAAAGTTAATTTCGTGAAAAATATTTAGAAAACGACATCGATTACCGGGTCACA